CACAAACTTTTTGCTGAACACTCTAACACTACATTTTTAAACCTACCCCATACCTCTTCGACCCATTTCCTATGCTCTATTAGCCCATCTATCCTCCAATAGCTGTTTATATCTTACCCTAACTGCCTCCTCTTTTAGTTTATAAACCTTCACCTCTCTCTTCCCTGATGCTTTTATTCTCCTTGTATCCCATCTACCTTTTACCTCAGTGTAGCTACAACTAGAAAGTGATCTGATATATCTGTGGCCCCTCTATAAACATGTACATCCTGAAGTCTACTCAACAGTCTTTATCTACCAATACATAATCCAACAAACTACTGTCATTTTGCCCTACAAACATATCTTGTATACTTATTTATCCTCTTTTTCTTAAAATTATGTATTGCCTATAACTAAAACCCCTTTCTATACAAAGTTCAGTCAAAGGGCTCCCATTATCATTTACACCGGGCACCCCAAACTTACCTACCACACCCTCTCTAAAAGTTTTCCTACTTTAGCATTCAGGTCCACTACCACAATTACTCTCTCATTTGGGTTTTAAAAGGCTCCTATACATTCATTTAAACATCTCCCAATTTCTCTCTCTCCTCTACATTCCTCTCTTCTCCAGGTGCATACACGCTTATTATGACCCCACTTTTCGCACCCAAAACCTTTACTTTATCCACATAATTCTTGAATTTACACATTCATATTCTCTTTTCTCCTTCCATAACTGATCCTTCAACATTACTGCTACCCTTCCTTTGCCTAACTCTCTCAGATACTCCTGATTTAATCCCATTTATTTCCCCCACCGAAACTCCCTACCCCCTTCAGTTTTTGTTTCACTTAGGGCCAGGACATCCAACTTCTTTTCATTCATAACATCAGCAATCATCTGTTTCTTGTCATCCGCACTACTTTCCACGCACATCAAGCATCCAGTTTTATAATTTTTTTTCTTCTTCTCTTTTTAGTAAATGTCTACAGGAGAAGGGGTTACTAGCCCATTGCTCCCGGCATTTTAGTCGCCTCATACGACACGCTGGCTTACGGGGGGAAGATTCTTTTCCCCCTTCCCCATGGACATATATATAAAATATTTTATATATATATATAAAAAAGGTGGCATATACGGTACATGTTGTTACGTTTTGTATCACCGATTAAAAGGCCCAAAATCTCATCCAGCTCCCAGAGCTGGGCGTGTGCCCAAAATGCAGCATGCATTACCCCTTTGAACAGCCGCACTGAGCCGCTGGAAAACAGAAAACTAGCTGCCCGGGGATCCCTAGTTAAACCCCTGATGAGTCTTTTTCCCACCCCTTAAGGAAATTAGATGCACTCTTTCCCCTGAGCCAAGGGTCTCTGAGCCTATGGGAAAAAAACATATAATGTGGGCAAGTTCTCCATATTTTCTAGACTTTTGGGACTCCCTAAAGCTGGCAGCTGCCCTCCTTCCTCCCGGGTGTATTGGAGATAGGTATCAGCCAAGGTAGATGCACATGTATAGTCCCACACCACCTGTTTCCCCAAATCTGTCCAGGCTTGAAGGGTGATACCATCGGGGACGCTTCTGGCTGCCATCAGATCTGCATAGTTGGGGTGGCTCCCTTACTGCTGGGCATCCAGCTGTTGGGGAGGCTCCTCTTGATAATGTTATTAACCTCCTCATGTCTTGCAATCTTTCCCTCGATTTCGGCACACAAGACCATGGTACCCGAATGGGTCTGCTGCTTCACTGCCACAAATACCCTGTGTTCGGGAGAATGGGGGCGGCAATTTCGAAGGGCAACACCGATGCGGATGGTCTGTGGGTCGAGGCGTGTGCCAAGGCTGGAGTTGGAACAGCCAAAAAGAAAGTCCCAGCATGAGGGGCTCTCACTGCCAGGGGGCGGGCTCTATCCTTCCCTGACACATCTGAAGCATCGTTGAGGCTATATTTTCCCACTATTGGACCATCCAGTGCGATTGTTTGTAGTTGTTGGGGGGAGCAGGTCTGTTTCTGAGCCCTTAGATTATCCAGATCATTGTTTTCCGTCAATAAATTTTTTGGTCCTGGGCTCCAATTTGTCCCTAAGATGTTCGGGGAGAATCGCTGCTACAAGCTCTCTGGATGAAATACACGAGGACAGAAAAGCAGGTAACGCAATCTGTGATGATTTGCGGACACCAATGCCTCCTAGTCTGACTGGAAGTGTAGCTTGGTTCCACTGCCCGTCTTCTAGAGTAAGGTTAAGTACTTTCGTAAAAATCTGCCTCAGAAACTGTCATATTCGTGCAGTATAGGGTTATCATATGAAGGTGCAAAATCTTAGGAAATATGTCAACCTGGGCAGACTCAAGCACTTTGTGAGAAGGTACAAGGCATCGTGGGTGTCCAGATTTCCTATTCGTTTTTTCCATTCTCCTTAACTCTTCCAATTTTCTTCCTGAGAAATTGTGTCAATGGCATTGCTTCCCAGAGGTGCTCCTAGCAAGACACTATTTGTGGGGGCAATGACTGCTGCTCCTGGTAGTTTTTGATCTCACTGCATTTATCACTTGTTGACTGACTGGGATGATTTCACATTTGGGTGGATTCAGGATGAGACCCATTCCTTCCCCGTGTCATTACCTGTGTAAGGTCATGTAGGAGGGGCTCTTTGTACCTGCTAGTGTGCCACATCTAGGAACCAGATGTTAGCTCGCTGGTCAGTCTGACTGTGATTTCCCTAACTTGCAAAACAGAAGAGAAAATGGTGCAAGAGGATCTCCTTTTGGACACCCTCCGATGATGTGATTTCATGCTCTCCAAAAAGAAGCATTGATTCCTTGCTATACCCCGCTGAAACAAAAGGGAAGAGACCAGGGAAATGTTCTTGTACTTGCTGCTAATACCACGTCTCTTTTCAGGAGATTGAACGCATTCTTGAAATCTAATTTTACCACTGCATTGTCCTCAGGCAGGTTTGTTGATATATGCCCTTGTTTTCATGAACCGCTGCTTCACTTCCTTGAGAGACCCCAAAGCCAAGCTGGTTTGGTTGAAGCATCATGGCTGCCTTTTGCAACGAATACTTTGGACAGCACTTTGGATACGAGGCGGCGTTTAAAGTGTTGCCTACTGCAATTGGCCGAATTCCTCCATCCTTCTTTTTAAGTGCACAAAGTGTTGCACCAAAAAAGAAAGGTCTAATTTCATCAGGAATCATATATATCATATATATATCATATATATATAATATATATATATATATATATATATATATATTATATATATATTATATATATATATATATATATATGTATGCTTTCATTTTGTGTTCTGTGCCCTGTTCTAGTAAGAGAGCGAGTTTTTTTTACAGCCAGTCATGGCTGGTGCAAGGCCGAGCAAATGTCGACAGCCTGTACTGTCTGCATAGACAGCCTATGCTGTTTGCCAACTGAGTTCATATTTCGTGCCTTGCTCGTGCTGTTACCTATAGACCTATGCCACTTCAATATGCCCAGACCTGCCTCTCACTCTCTCACTCAGTCAACAAGGCCTACTCCACTCTCCCTCGCTGGGCATGGCCCTCCCGGGCCATGGGCACTTAACACACTGCCTGTGTACCCCACGACATTGCAAATAAATCAAGAAGCCTCTGAAGCTTTATCATTTAACCCCACTCTGCCGGAACGACCAATAAGCTGGTAAACATTGGTGCATAATAATTGTAACAATGTTAACACCAATAACTTAAGCCTGTCAGGCAATTATTTGCGAGCTTTAAAAAAAAAATCGAAAAATTATGGAAATTGAGTTATTCATACAGAAAAATAGCTTAACTCTTTGGTAACACAATGGTACAAGAATCAATGTTCTAAGATGTTTCTACAAGAAATTATAGTCATTTATATCAGGTATGGTGACGGCGGTGTGGGTAGCGAGTCTGCTCACAGCTTCCAGCCAATCAGGAACCATCTGGGAACACCGGCAGTATTCCTGCTCTGGAGAGAGGCAGGAGAAATCACTTCATTATTACGCTATTATCAACTCTACGGCTTATTTATCTATCAGAATTGATCTAATATTACATAATAAACACTATAAATAACATACAAACATGTTATATACTCTAGACTGAATAAAATAAGCCATAATATGGCGAGAGTCCACCAGCAATATTTGATATAAAAGTGTTACTAGTCTCCATGTGGTATTCTTTGGTCTTCAGTTATAGAAAACGGTATTTTGAAGAGGATAACTGTATAGAACATCAGTTTACTAAAAAAAACATCCAAACAAACGCGATTTTCGCGAAAAAAAAAAAAAAAAAAAACGAGACGGCGGGCCGGCCGGCGCTCGAGGCCAATATCTCGGAAGTAACTTATCCACTTATTTCGCTTTATTTTCCTTTATTCCTTAATTAAGTGGAATAAGATTCACAGAAATTGTAAAATAAGGATTTCTCTAATTTCTTTGGGTAAATTTTTGGAAATGTTCCAAATATTTTGGGATTTATGTGGAAGTAAAGGGAAGATTTTTTGCAACATTCCAAGAACTAACAAGCTTTGTTTTTTTTTTTTTTGTGAAATAAAGATAAGTTATTTAGAGGAAAGGAAACCCTACAAAATTCGTATTATCATTGTTCTCTCGGCACCAAGTGTCCAAACAACCTTACGTCGTCCCATATAGGCAAAGTATCCTGCCAAAGGACTTTTTCAGTAAATCAGTCCTTCCTCAGTTGTTGTTTGAGGTATCTTATTGACAAATATTTACAGTAACTAGAGAAAATACTTCGTTTTGTGCACCAAAACTGGAGGAAATCTGACTGAAAACAAACTAGCAAAAATTAATTCCCCGGAAGGTCCCTTGACATCCACACCAGTGTTAGCACCAATAACAGTGTTAGCACCAATAAGTGTTAACACCAATAACAGTGTTAACACCAGCAACAATGTTAACATGTACATTAACATTAATTAACAATAGTTATTACAAAAAAGATGTTATCATATACGGTAACATTATTAACATTAACAGTAACTCACCGAGGTTGTAAAACTTGTAGAAGGTTGTTAGAAGTGGTGGTCGTCTTAGCATGGTAGTGGTGGTTCAGTTCCAAGTCTGTACAGTAGTGGCGGGTGAGGGCAGCCAGCAGGTCAGGCAAGTCAGGCAGGTCATCTGGGTCACCACGGATAATAATCTTCACCTTGCAGGAGCTGAGGTGTGGCAGGAGAGCAGCGTAGCTTCTCACAAGTTCATCACGTACGTCAATTGTCTCTTCATTATTGAAGTAGCGAGATATTTCATTGACTGTTACTGGAGACATCTTAGTGTTGTCAAGGAGGTGGAGCCACTGGTCACTTTTACTCACGCCAGACTCTTGGAGGAGACGAACCACTTCTCGTGCAGGTGACTCAGGTACCTGGTCTAATACCAGGTGCAACAGCCCAGCCACATGTATCAGAACATTCTGATACTTGTTCATGTCTACCTTGGCAGACATGATGCTATTTTCTAACACTCCCCTGATACTGACAGGTGAAGCAGGCGTAGGTGGTGCTGGTGTAGGTGATACAGTTATCACAGATGGTTGGGAAGACACAGGTGGTGCTGGGTGTTGGGTGTACAAGACTGGAAGTGGTGAAGACTCCAGCTGGTGCTTGAGTGTCATCACAATATGCAGAGCACTGAAGTAGTCTTGGAGTCCCTTGTGTGGTGCAGAGTAGCGCTCCTCGATGCCTTGCCAAGTCCATATTGGCTTCAAACTGAAGAAAGCTGACAGCATCTCATGGTAAGGTATATTATGTTTGTTACAAGCAGATATTAGTTCTTCTACAGTCTCTTCTTCAAGACTCAACTGGTCACGTGACAGACTCTCTAGTGATTTTGCGTATATTATCTTCAACATTTCTTCAACACTCTTCTCTACACTACTTTCATTCATCATTTTGGTCGTTAATCTCTCTAATAACTTACTTTGACACATATGATGTATTTTATGGTAGAGTTGTGTTTGTGTTATTGTTCTTATGTTTAACTCATCAGGTTCCTGGTCCAAGATGTAAACAAGAAATGTTAAATTCAATGGCAGACGTAAGTGTTCGTGAAGACCTGTAGCCTTCCTCACCTTATACACCAGTTCATCAGTGCTTTTGTTACTGTTGGTCAGCTTACTTATCTCGTGGTGAGTCTGAAACACAAATTCTTCCATATATTCTTTATTTATACCTTGTAGTTCAGCATTAGTCACATTATAACCTTCAGGGATCGTCAAGCGAAACATTTCAACTGCTTCAGGTCTTGAGGTGCAGATAACAGTTGTGTAAATAGAGTTTTCGAATTCTTGTAAAAGCATTTTGACTAACATTCTGGAGTTCTTATTGAGTTCATCAAGACCGTCAACTAATATTATTACCTTACAAAGCTTTATTATTTTAGGCAGAATGTTTCTGAAATTTTCTGATACATCTGGTAATAGTCGGCGTAGAAGATGGTTTAAGGAGTTGATGGTCGGGTCCCTACACTGTACCCACAGTAAGAGATCATAATTATCTAAGTCCTTGATGTTACCTTCACCTTGTATCCATTGGTCAGTTATTAGCTTCACAAGAGTAGTCTTGCCACTGCCTGCCAAACCTTCCAGCAGAAGTATTTGTGGTGGTACAGAGGAACGTTGTTGTTGTGCGCCAGAACTCACACATGATGCCACACATGTTTTGGGGACAAGTGAGAGAAGGTCTACATAATCTATATGTTCATCATAACCTCTACGTCTTCCTTGTTTAACTTCAATATCAACAAAAATTTTGTCTACTTCAAGTTGAAAGTTGTCAGTGATAAAAGATACTGGGTTAATATAAGTCATTTGTTGTAAGATCTTCTTCAGTTGATCACAACTGTCTTCAATGATAATCTGTTTTATATTATCACTCCAATACTTCATTATATCATCCTCACCGAGAATCTCATCCATGATGTAGTAAAGGTCATCATTCATCTGCTGGATCTCCTTGTTAACTTCATCCTGGTCTCTCCCCATACCTCTCTCCCAGATGTCTTAAGACAACCAGTTAACAACTCACGAAGCTTTCTCATATTTTCATAATAATCTTCATCAGTAACTGCAAGTGGACCGTGTAAAGTATCGTTCCTCATGTTGTTTATGGCAGTGATGTAGTACTCCATTTGTGTACTGGCAGTGATCCATATTGGATCACCGATAGGAGCAACATTCTCACAAGCAAGTTTGATGCTTCTACACAGTAGTGGAACATCAAACTCTCTTCCATTTGCACTTTCATTAACCTGTTTCTTTTGGGTTTTGTTAAACTTTCGTTCGTTACTTCTGAGTTTTAAGTAGTTGGCAGATGATGTTTCTTTTAAATTGTTTAAGTAAAGATCAAGTGTTATAGTAGCAGGTTTATCTGGTGTTCCCCAGCAGAATGTCTGATGCAACACTCGTCTACCACACTCACTCAAAGCTTTCAGCATTCTGAACCAATTATTTTCATCCTTAGTTTTTACAGCCATGACACAGTAGAAGCAAGATGATGTTATTGTTGCTGACAGTGCTGCTGTTGCTTCTCAGATATTGTTGCTGACAGTGCTGCTGTTGCTTCTCAGATATTGTTGCTGACAGTGCTGCTGTTGCTTCTCAGATATTGTTGCTGACAGTGCTGCTGTTGCTTCTCAGATATTGTTGCTGACAGTGCTGCTGTTGCTTCTCAGATATTGTTGCTGACAGTGCTGCTGTTGCTTCTCATAATTTTGCTGCATGCTGCTGTTGCTTCTCAGATATTGTTTCTGACAGTGCTGTTGTTGCTTCTCAGATATTGTTGCTGACAGTGCTGTTTTGCTTCTCCAGATATTGTTGCTGACAGTGCTGCTGTGCTTCTCAGATATTTGCTGACAGTGCTGCTGTTGCTTCTCAGATATTGTTGCTGACAGTGCTGCTGTTGCTTCTCAGATATTGTTGCTGACAGTGCTGCTGTTGCTTCTCAGATATTGTTGCTGACAGTGCTGTTGTTGCTTCTCAGATATTGTTGCTGACAGTGCTTCTGTTGCTTCTCAATATTGTTTTTCTGACAGTGCTGCTGTTGCTTCTCAGATATTGTTGCTGACAGTGCTGCTGTTGCTTCTCAGATATTGTTGCTGACAGTGCTGTTGTTGCTTCTCAGATATTGTTGCTGACAGTGCTGCTGTTGCTTCTCAGATATTGTTGCTGACAGTGCTGTTTGTTGCTTTCTCAGAATTGTTGCTGACAGTGCTTTTGTTGGCTCTCAATATTTTTGCTGACAGTTGCTGCTTTGCCTTCTTCTCAGATATTGTTGCTGACAGTGGCTGCTGTTGTTTCTCAGATATTGTTGCTGAAAGTACTGCTGTTGCTTCTCATATATTGTTGCTGAGTGCTGCTGTTGCTTCTCAGATAGTTGCTGACAGTGCTGTTGTTGCTTCTCAGATATTGTTGCTGACAGTATTGTTGTTGCTTCTCAAATTGTTGCTGACATGCAGCTTTAGCTTCTCATTATTTGATTTGCTGACACACACCTGATACATCAACACTAGACCAGGAATGCTGAAAAATAAAAGACATGATTTGAAATATGTATAATATTACAAGTGTCAGACTGTAACATGTACTACTGAGGTACAACTACAGTAACTACTATACTGGACTACTGAGGTACTAGCACAGTAACTACTATACTGGACTACTGAGGTACTAGCACAGTAACTACTATACTGGACTACTGAGGTACTAGCACAGTAACTACTATACTGGACTACTGAGGTACTAGCACAGTAACTACTATACTGGACTACTGAGGAACTAGCACAGTAAATACTATGCTGGACTACTGAGGTACTAGCACAGTAACTACTATACTTGACTACTGAGGTACTAGCACAGTACTACTATACTGGACTACTGAGGTACTAGCACAGTAACTACTATACTTGACTACTGAGGTACTAGCACAGTAACTGCTATACTGGACTACTGAGGTACTAGCACAGTAACTACTATGCTGGACTACTGAGGTACTAACACAGTAACTGTTATACTGGACTACTGAAGTACTAGCACAGTAACTACTATACTGGACTACTCAGGTACTAGCAGAGTAACTACTATACTGGACTACTGAGGTACTAGCACAGTAACTACTATACTCGACTACTGAGGTACTAGCACAGTGACTGCTATTCTGGACTACTGAGGTACTAGCACAGTGACTACTATACTGGACTTCTGAGGTACTAGCACAGTAACTGCTATACTGGACTACTGAGGTACTACCACAGTGACTACTATACTGGACTACTGAGGTACTAGCACAGTAACTACTATACTGGACTACTCAGGTACTAGCACAGTAACTACTATACTGGACTACTCAGGTACTAGCACAGTAACTACTATACTCGACTACTGAGGTACTAGCACAGTGACTGCTATACTGGACTACTGAGGTGCTAGCTCAGTAACTACTATACTGGACTACTGAGGTAATAGCACAGTAATTACTATACTGGACTAATGAGGTACTAGCACAGTAACTACTATACTTGACTACTCAGGTACTAGCACAGTAACTACTATTCTCGACTACTCAGGTACTAGCACAGTGACTGCTATGCTGGGCTACTGAGGTACTAGCTCAGTAACTACTATACTGGACTACTGAGGTACTAGCACAGTAATTACTATACTGGACTAATGAGGTACTAGCACTGTAACTACTGTACTGGACTGAGGTACTAGCACTGTAACTACTTTACTAGACTACTAAGGCACTAGCACAGTAACTACTATACTGTACTACTGAGGTACTAGAACAGTGACTGCTATACTGGACTACTGAGGTACTAACACAGTAATTACTATACTGGACTAATGAGGTAATAGCACAGTAACTACAATACTAGACTGAGGTACTAGCACAGTAACTACTATACTGGACTAATGAGGTACTAGCACAGTAACTACTATACTGGACTGAGGTACTAGCACAGTAACTACTATACTGGACTAATAAGGTACTAGCACAGTAACTACTATACTGGACTACTGAGGTACTAGCACAGTAACTACTATACTCTTCTACTGAGGTACTAGCACAGTAACTACTATACTAGACTACTGATGTACTAGCACAGTAACTACTATACTGGACTACTGAGGTACTGGCACAGTGACTACTATTCTGAACTACTGAGGTACTAGCACAGTAACTACTATACTTGACTACTGAGGTACTGGCACAGTTGTCATGTGGGTTCGATAACGTGGATGGGATAAAAACACTCACGTAGGCTGGTTAGTACGCATAATTAAACGGAAAGTATGGGAAGCACCATCAGCCGACCTGCCTCTCTCTGCTCTCTATCTCCGACTGACCCACCAGTGCCTAGCGGGTGAACGGCATTCAAAAACATGCTATCGTCAGCAGCAACATGGATAACAGTCAGTGATTCACACAGATGGTTGGTAGTGAGTCATCTGCTAGTAACTGGTTACTGGTAAGTGGTTACTACTACTGAGAGCTCGGCGACGCTAACGTATGTCGTCCCGACATAAAGCTAATACAAACTAGAGACGGCAGGTGTATGGTTTGGGCTGATTCTATACAATGTCAAAGTACACAACAACTGAACATTATAACATAATGGGAATGTTGGAATGGAAGCTTACGTAATTGACTATAATGAAGCTTACTGTAACGAAAATGTAATCCATTATAAGGTATAATATAGCACAACTCATCGACTCAACATTGGGATTACACAATAGAAGTGATAAAAAAAATTTTGATCGATCGATCTGTATTCATGTGATCTACGGATTCTGAGGAAGAAATATATACAAAGAAAGAAGTGTTTAACAGAAAGGCAGATTCGGTGCACTCAAATCTAGACTGTTAACTCTCAGAATTCGGAGAGAACGTGAACACAAAAAAAAAATTCTTGAATACTGATAAGTTGATACTGTAATTATTCATCTATACAGGTTATTTACATTTAACCCCAATTCTGCTAGGGTGAGATTAACATATGCAGAATGGGCGTCATGTCTGGGAGGATCAAACTCTGTTGCACTGGCTAACTCATGCTGTATTTGAGGCAAATCTGAATTGGAAGTTACAAATGATACTTGAGGATTTCTCAATACCTGTCGTGTACGTAGGGAATAACGACATTCAGGTTGATCGTCTGACTGAGTATCAGAGGTAGAGAGTACAGGATCAGGAGGATTGTCAGAGTCTGTCACATTAGTCTGGGTTGGAACATCATTATCATCACATACTAACTTCATATGATCTAAATGCGATTCTTTATACTGACCAGTACTAATTTCTCTAACCTTATACTTATTACCAGTGATATGTTCAACTACTCGATAAGGACCAACAAACTTTTGATCAAGCTTAGGCATTGCAGACGTTTTGTTAAAGTTAGTCAGCATAACTCTCGAACCTACTTTGATTTTGGATGGCTTTGCTCGAGTGTTAGCGACTCTTGTAAATTCTGCTGTTGATTTACGAAGTGTTTCACGGACTCTTCTAAAGACGCTTTGAGCTAAGCTGGTACGAGTTGCTATGAAATCATCAGGGTTTCGGGTAAGAATATAACAACTCATAAGGCAAACGTTTATCTACACCGTACAATGCATAATGTGGAGTGTCACCTACGGAAACATTGTAAGCAGAATTTAAAGCACACTGCACATCAAGTATAACTTCATCCCAAGTTTCACTGTTGGGATTGATAGTGGCTCTCAAGACATCAAGTACTTTCTTATTGGTTCGTTCGGCTAACCCATTGCTGGCAGGATGATGAGGAACAATGGTGGATTTAGAGATCTTGTACAAGGTACACAAATTTTCAAGAATCTCATTACAGAATTCACCACCATTATCTGTTACTAGGGACTTAGGGGTGGTATGCCTGCAGATAATGCATTCTTTAAACGCTTTAGCTACTGTCTCGGCAGTCTTATCTGCAATAGGAACTAACTCACATCTGGTGAAATGGTCT